TAAATATCGTGTTTAAAATATTTGAAATTAATATAAAATAATAAAATTTATAGTTAAAAATTTATTTTTAATTTTCAATCAATTATTTATAAATTAGCGAAAAACAAAAATAACAAATTTGATTTAAAGAAAAATATCATCCTAAAATATTAATATAATTTGTTTTAAATGAAATAAATTTTTATTTTAAAATTTATATTCAGTTTAAAATTCCTTTTTTTCTTTTCCATCTCTTTCTTCCTAGCAATTTTTCTGTAATTCTCTCATAAAAGCATTTAAAAATTTGAACAATTAAATTTTTTACATTTTAACTACTGCCACCCTATCCTTTTCGTCTCATTCCCTTCCGTTTCATCCATCCTATAGCAATTATATTTCTTCGGAAACTTTTTTGATATTTTTCTTCAAACCAGCTTTTATTATATTTTTTTTCCATTTTTTGTTCATTCATTTTTCCACCTGTTCCTCTCATATCATTCATTCCTTTACACCAATAACTAAATGAAAATTCCCCGAATAATTGAGGAGCGGGGGAGTAGAAGGGAGAGGAAAAAATGGCTGAAAAGGTATTTGTTATTTCATCTTTTTCATCTTCTTCTCTTCATTCTTTCCACACTTTTTTCATTTTGAAATTTTCCTACCATTTTGGAGTGATAAAAGAAAGAAAGAAAATGGATTGAAGAGGTGTTAAGAAGATGAAATGGAATGATTTCATTTTAGGTTAAAAAAAAAAAGTTTATTTTATTTTTTAAAATAAACCGGAAATGATTCTAATATATCTTTTCAGTATATATATTTTTTGCTTAGAGTTATAATACCATAATATATTGGAATTGTTGCAAAGAAAAAAAGAAAGGAGAAATAAATTAAAATTAACAAATATATTCTCTTTCTCTCTCTCTCTCTCTCTCCCTCTTTGTCTTTAACTTTTTTAATAAAGTCAAATATTCTTATATAAAAATATACTCTCTCTCTCTCTCTCTTTCTTTGTCTTTGACTTTTTTATGAATTAAAATATTCTTATATTCAAATATATTCTCTCTTTCTCTCTCTCTCTTACTTTAGCAATTAAGAGGAAAAAAGTTTTCTTAAATTTTAAAATTGTTAGCAATTAAGGGAGAAAAAGTTTTTTATATTTTTAAATTTGCTGCATATTTTTTTAATAATTAAAGTAATTAAAATAGTAAATGTATTCTCTCTCTAATAATAATAATTAAAGTATTTAAAATAATAGATATAAATATATAAAATATGATATTAATCTAAGATAGCATAACATATGTACAGTATGATAAAAATGTATCGTAGTATTGTAATTTAAGCATTATAGAAAAATACGATATTATTACTGGTAAAATGTTATACGACAGTATATTAAATGGTAAAATGATAACGATGATAACAATGTCATAAAATTATTTCAAATAAAAATTTGAAAAAAAAAAGGAAGAAGAAAATATTTCTTATTGAATTAATATAATGTAAAAGAAATTTTCCGATCTAACAGATATCGGAAATACCGGATGTTATTCCTGTAATAATAAATGATACATGAATTACAATAAGAAAGTATTCAGTAATTGATCCTGCAATAATGAATTCATCATTTACATGAATTACAATACGAAAGTATTTTCAGTTATTGATTAATGATATTTGTTCAATTTATTTGTTGTTAAATTGAATTAAAATACTTGAATTCATTACTGATATTTTAGTAATGTGATTTTTCTTTCTTTTAAATTCGATATTTAAGTACTTTTAATTTTCGTTTTATTTTCTCTTATCTAAACTATTCAGTTAATATGAAGTTTTCGTTCCTTCATTTTTATCTTCTACATGTTTTTACTTCTTTATTCAAACTAAAATTTTTTTGATAATGAAATACTAAATGAATGAATTAGTCATAAATAATTTATTATTAATTATTATTATTTCAAAACAAAATTTGTAACAATAAATTATTGAGGGAATTAATTAATTTAATGATAATCGAAAATTATTGAGGATTATCGATTAACTCTTACAACTTTTATGATCATTGATAATAAAAATTCTTTAAAAATTAATTCTACGAATATTTCTCAACTTATTTTAGGTGGTGATTTGTCAGAGTTCATTGGAACTCCGCCGCTATATTGGGTCAGATTGTTTGACAATGGATGTTGGTGGTGTACTAAAATATAATCATTTAGAATGGGTACAACATCGTATGGTAACCTATTATTCACTTTATTATTGATAGTAATAATTAATAAAAATATAATAATTAATTCCGACAATTTTCAACTACTTCACATTTTAGTCATTTTTTTCACTAATTTTATTTTTCTCTTAACATACATATAAATTTATATATATATAATTATTTTCTCCTCCTTCTTCCTTTATTACCATATATTGCCAATAAGATTTACCGGGTCATTTTAATATTGCACATTGGATACGGGGTAGGGAAATGTGTGTTCCACCTGTATAAAGAATTTTGATGATCATGCAAGCTGTTAAATCATCCGGTTTAATTTATCAGCCGGTTAGACCTTGATGATATCCTTTCCTTTTTTTCTTTTACATCCTCTTAAATCAATTCAAATATTTTCAAGAAGAAACATTTTAAAATATTTTTTAGTTTAATTAAATATTAATAATTAATTGATGAATTAATTAATTGATAATTAATTGATGACATTATCAATTATATATGTTACATTTAATTTATTTCTATTTTTATTCATATTTTCATTAAGTACCTTAATTTTTTGAAATTCTATGAGATAACTTTTTTACAAATAATTTCAATTATTTTAGCAATTAATAAATTTCATTTCCAATTAAATAATTCCAATTAATTTAGCAATTAATAAGAAAATCATTTCATCATCTTAACAGGTATATACCGAATGATATCCTAAGATTTATTGAAATTTCAAAAATAAATTATATAAATTTAATTCTTATCATTTTTACTCATATAGTCGATTTTTTTCTCTTTTCAGGATATTGAACGGATGAAATCATCCGCAACCGTAATTGCACAATCATTGAGCGAATTTGGTCGTTGCCTGAAAGAAACCGAACTTCCTAATGATGTCGAGACAACAGCACGAATTCTTGAAATACAAACTGCTGAGCGTGATGCTATAAAAGTCATTTAATTATTTTTTTCCCCTCTCCAATTTACCGGAAAAGTCTCGGAATTTAAATACGGAATCAATTCAATCTCATTTTATAAATATAATTTTTATGCTAGTTTCATTTGTAGGAAGATTTCCGAATATCTATACGAAAAGGATTATCATTGTTACGACATGTTAGACAGTTGGATGTTAAGCCGGAACATGAACAACTTAGTCCAACCAGGTAACTCTATATTTATTTCTCTATAGATATTTCGACATGATTCATTATTTCAGTTTATTAATAATAATTCATAAAAATTATCTATACATATTTCAACTGGATCCATTATTTCACTTTATTTACATCATTCCGTTGAAATTATTTGTAAATGTTTCAACTCCATTTGGATCCATCATTCTGTTGAAATTATCCATACATATTTCAACTGCATCCATTATTTCAGTTTATTGATATAAATCCATAGAAAATCATCTGTAGATATTTTAACCGGATCCGTTATTTTAATTATCACATTTTTATTAAAGTATGCAACAAATATTTTATTTTACTAAAAAATATATGCATGAATGGTTTAACTATTTTTTTTTTAATAGACTTCATAATGTGACAGCAATTGAACGAATGCTTATACAATTGGAAGAAACGGAGCGAAGTTTTGATGCATTTTGGATGAAACACGAAAAACGTCTCACACAATGTTTGAAACTTCGACGATTTGAAGATTCATTTAGAAAGGTAAACTAAAAATTTATCATTATATTTTATATGAATATAATATAATGTTGAAAAAAATTATTCATCCATTTCAAATATCATCACGTCATTTTCAACATTGTTGAAGATTTTGAAATTATTATTGAGAATGAGAAATTAACTCTCAATATTACCAAATATCAAAGTTATAATTTGAAATAAAGAAATAAGCCGCCAATATTAGCGAATTCAATGTTACCTCTCAATATTATCAAATATCGAAGTTATAATTTGAAATAAAGAAATAAGCCGCCAATATTAGCGAATTCAATGTTATCACTAAAAATGATAAAATAATCTTTAATGTTGCCGAATTTAAAGTTATCAGCTAAAAATGAAAAAATATATATCATAAAATTTAGAATTTAAAATGAAAAATCTTAGAGAATTGTTTGTATGATTGAAAAAAGGGAAGGAATAATTCTTGCAAATTATTTGCAGTAATTTAAAACAATGTATTTGAAATAATGTATCAAATTTAACGTAATCTTTTCTGCTTCAAAATATTCATTTATAAAGCATTATGAAATATTTATGCTATCAGTAGGGATTATCATCATTTTAATCTTTTCCGTATTAATGTCGTTTTTAAACAACTTTCAACTATTCTTACTACATCTATAATGCTCTTTTTTCATATCAATTATCAGCGATTTATCAATTAATTATCATTTCGAACAATCTTGTCTTGCCATTATCATCTTTTAAAACTATCATATCTATAATAGAACATTTTGCGGGATTCATTCTTTCTTCTATTCCACCTTCTTATTGCGACCTTCTCTATCTTTTTCACTACGTCCTTGCAATGTTGAAAATTCCACAAATAGTTGAAATATTATTAATGAAATGTTACATGTTGAAATTCAAAAAGGTATTTATCGTTTTATAACCTTCTCCATTCACACTTATGTGTCATCATCCATAAAGATTAATTAATAACTGATTATTCAGTGTTCCATAATGATTAATTAATAACTAAACATACATTCTTTTCAATGAAGAAAACAAAAAGAAACCATTTAAAGACAATCAAAAGTATTACTTTCTATTTTTCTTTTATTTTTTAATGATTATTACATTATCATTTATCGATTAGAAAAATTAAATTTCATTTTAGCAGATTTTTTGTTGCATATGTTTTAATTGAAATAATTAATTAGAACTTTATTACAACTATTGCATATCTGATATAAATTCTATACTTATACAAAAAAGATTCTTGTCAGAATACATTGATATCTTATCAGAATACATTGATTTCGTTTTAAATCTTCCTCAAAACTTAATTTTGCATTCGAAAAGAAAAAATTGAGAGAAAAGATCAAAATTAAGAAAATTAATAGTATTTTCAAAAAATTTTAATTTTCTTTCTACATCTGTAAAACTCTTTTTCATATTATTATTAACTGATAATTTGTCAATCAATTATCACTTAGAATAATTATCACTCAAAATATACAAATGAAGCGATTAAAGGAATTATTGAAATTCGTTTATCGATTAGCAGCTAAATGAAATTAAATTTCAATAGCTAATGAATTGAAAGTTGAAACTGATCAATAAAGAGATGAAATGAAAGGAAATTTCTGGACAATTCATCTTTATCGATCACAAATTGCATTCTGATTAGTTTGATAGCTATCGATAAGTTGATAACGAAATGATAATGTTTGTGACCTTTCCTCTGTCCACTTCTTCTTCCTTCTTAGTTTCATTTTCATTCTATCTATCCATCCTCTCATATCATATTCATTTCGTTATTTGAAATATTTTTCAAAATTAAAAAAATAATCATTACCAACCTTAGGCTTACAAATATTACGTATAATCCTATTTTAGCACTAAACTATCATTATCTATGCGACATTTGTATAATTATGATAACTTATCATGAAATAATAATTACTTTTGCTAATTACTTATTACTAATTCCTCTTGTTTTTTTATTCTCATATCTTTTGCTATTTTTGTTCTCATATTTTTTCGATAACTTAAGTAGTCGTTTTCCATTCGAAAGATATGTTGTTTATAAATTTATAAAACAATCAATAATATATGATTAATCATTATATTCTTTCTTAAAATATTAGGCCTTATTTTTGGGAAAAAGTAGGCGTTGGAATTCGACAACTAGCATTTTAGATAACATAATGCCTTTTTTAAACTGATAGACGAAGAGATTGTCATATTCTTTTGTTTTTTATTTTCAACGATAATTTTGCTTTCTTTATTTTCAATCTTAGATGACAGTTGTTAGTTTGATTGGAAATGGCGATAATATCGAATCGATAAATGGATTCATTTCATTTATTATTTATTCAAATTATCATCTTCATTTTTTTCTTTTCAAATTTTACTGATAGCATTTAAATCTTATCAATAATACTGATAATAATGATATCAAATTTTCATTAAACATTAAATTTTATCAGCACTTATAAATTTATAAAAATGAGTAATTTATAATTTTTATAATATTCTTAAATTTCAATTCATAATAGCTTCCAGCAAATTTTAATGATAAAAATGATTAATTCAAATATGTTCTTATCAGAGAAATAAAAACATCAAATAGAGCAATATTATAATAAAGATGGAAGCTTCTTTTCTAACAACTATAAAAGAGTATATTATTTTAGAAAATATTAGAAATTATTTTTCAATTAAAGGTTATAGGTCATTATAAGTTTATAGAAGAGAGAGAGAGAGAGAGAGAGGAGCGAAAGAAAGAACAAAGAAAAATGATGGCTAAAGAAAGAGAAATAAGAGTGATGTCCGTAAACCATAGTAGGAATGCATAAATAATAATTATTATTACAGCTACAATCATCATTTGCAAAACATATGATCCATTTGGAAGAGCATCGAGAAGTGGGTGATGGCCCGCAGAAAGCTGAACAATTAGGTCAAGCACATGCTGAATACTGTCAACAAGCTATGGTATATATATGTATATTTTTTTGATTTAATATCATTGTTATCACAGTTATCGCACTATTAGTTTATGCATTATCATTGTTGTTATTATTATCATTGTTGTTATTATTTATTACTTGTTATTTATTATTCATTATTTATTTATTATTTATTATAATTTATAATTTATTATTAATTAATTTATTATTATTATTATCGCTATTATTATTATTATTATTATTATTATTATTAACATTTGTTGTTTATTTACTATATTAATTAATTATTCGTTAATATTGCCAACTTTAATTTTAAATTACTTATTGCATTCATCTCCTTTAGAACCTAAAATTTAATCCACTTAAATAAATTTTAATAAAAAATTTAGAAAATAAAGAGATATTTTCTTTTATCCCACTTTTATCTATGCTATTTGTATATTTTCATTAATGATATTTTATTATCATTATTATTATGCTGAATTTTAGGATGACGTGAATGGCGCACGTTTATTACGTGATGCAGGGCAAGAGTTAATCTCATCACAAGATGTTGAATTAACAGGAAGTTTATTGCCAAAGTGTGATGAACTTGATCGTATGGCTGATGCATTAAGTGGAGCACTTGAACGACGTACGAAAGTACTTCAACTAAGCAAAGATATGCATCAACAAATACATGCGGTATTAGCTTAGTCTGAAATTCTAGTGCTAGCTTTATTAGCTTAGTCTGAAATTCTAGTGTTAGCTTAGCCTGAAATTATATCACACTTCAAGCAATTTCTATATTTACTATACTAATTTTTCTTCAAATTTACATCTTTAATACCTCTCATTTCACGTAAATAATTTATCAGAAGTGGTTTGATACGATGATAGTTGAAGTTATATTGCATAAATGATGAAGTAAATTGACTAGAATTATTATTCATTATTCCAGATTCCATTCTTAAATCGTATCTTAAAATAAAGCATAAAAAATATAATGAAAAATTTTCACTGTCAATAAAAGATCAAAATTAAATTAAATAAGAAAGAAACGATTGAGTAAGACTATTTTATCCAAGAAATCGTTATATAAAATAAAACATAGATTGAAATTTCTGTCGTCTTGAGGATATATCCTCTTTGAGATTTATTATAAGTTATCATTCATTCAATTTGCAAGAAATTAATGATATCTAATTTTAAACTTTATAGAAATAAATAATTAATCAATAGGTAGGACTTGTAAACATACGCAGGTCAGTTTATAGCAGCATCTTTAGTCAGTGTATGGAAATTCCCGTAACATTTCAGCGTATGAACGTATACACGTTCCATTATATCTTGACATGTAAAGGTATGCGTGTTAATCCGTTATATAAACGTGTACATGTTAATCCATTATATCTTAGCGTATAAACGTGTACACGTTAATCCATTGTATCTTAGCGTATAAACATGTACACGTTGACCATTATATAGGGAAATCTTCAACAGTTTTGTTCAACGTATTGGTTTAACGTATAAAAATATACACGTCAATCGATTGTATTTTAAATATGCTAATAAAAGAGAAGTGCAAAGTAAACAATTTCTTATTATGAATAAGCCATCTGTTTTAAGTATGGTTGATGGATGAGGGAAATCTTCAATAGCTTTCAAAATTCTTTTTATTTTACAATCTCAAGAATATACCAATGAATGTTTTTCATGAAGCAATAATAATTGTATGAATGATTTTATAGTGGCTATTGTTTTAGTGAATGAAAAACATTTAAAAGAAATCTTTGCAATAATTTATTTCATTTGATTATACAATTTTCTAAATTTAATTTTATCAATAAAATTAAATTTTTTTCTACCAACTTTACAACAATGATAAATTGATAAACAATGATAAAATAACAATGATAAATTTTTCAACAAAAATTTAATTTTTATTTGTCGAAATTTTTTCATTTATTTTTAATTAAATTAATATTTTTGCAGAAACTTTAAATTAGTTTAAAATTTTAATATTTTTGTAAATTCAAAATTCAAAAATTTTTTGATTCATAAAAAGAATAATTTAAAATTTTATAATTAATTTAATATTTATATTTTATGCAAAATTTTGAATATGAACGATATGCTTTGTTAATTATGCTTAATTATTTAATTATTTTCGATAATTGAGCTATTTTTGCGATAGTTTAATTTATAGAAAATTTTTAGGCAAATAATTGGTGTCATCGTGGCGTTGAATTGTTGACGACAATACCATATGATTGTACAGCAAGTTGTGCTGCAAATGTATTAACAACCGTTGATAAATATATCGAAGAAGGCAAATCATTGAAGGTTTAGATGATTTATGATAAGATGATAATGAAGAGATGATATGATATGATATGATGTGATTTATCACTGATTGATAAGATTTTAAGTTGACTACATTTTACTCTTTCTGACATTTTATTCATTTAGTTATGTAAAAATTTTGATTAATGATGAATTTAAAGTATTTTATTAATATAATATTAACTTAATTGAATATATTATAGTATTGGGAAAAGAATTTATTTGTATTTATGGTGGAATTAATTTGTGGTAAACGTAAACATAAACGCTTATAGTATCATAGGTATTAATGATAGTATAATCGTATAATAAATTTTATTATGTTATAGCTAATACTTATTAAAATATCTTAGATTAAATTATTAAGATAACTTATTAGTGTATTGTTAGAATTTCTTATAGTATCGTAAAAGAAACTTACAACTATTTCTAATCATAGTATCGTGAACTTATCATAGTATCATGATCGTAATAATTAAATATATTTTCAGCTGGATACTTTTAATAGTGAGCCAGATTTGAACAAATTAATAATGCTTACTACAACTGAAACATCAACATTACTTGCACAGGTAATTTTATTTTTAGAAAATTCGAAGAAAAAAGTTGTAAACGAATTTAAAATTTACAAATATAATATAATCGTATAAATGATAATGTATCGTATAAAAATTTTCAACGCTTCTTATATTAATTTGAATTTATTTTTTTCGCTATTATTAAAATAAATTTTATCAAAATTCAAAATTCACAAAAAATTAATTCATTGACAATTTTCGGTTTTTCGTTGTTTTTTGATCTTTCAAATATAATTATTAATTTATTGAATCAAATTTCGAACGTGCATAATATCAGTTTTGATATTTCAAATTATAAGTTTAATTATAATTTGCAATGAAAACAAAAAAAATTATATGAAATTAAATAATAAGAAATTATAAGTTTAACTATAATTTGCAATGAAAAACAATAAACAATTGATGAAATGATTTTATTATTTATTAATGAAATTAATTTAGCATGCTTTTGTTATCATATCTTATCACTTATAAGATAGAGTGATAAATTTTAATGAAGGAAAATGATAATTAATTTAGGCTAAAATAAAATATAATTCTTACTCTTTACATTACAATTACATATTTTGCACTTCTTTGTTTATTTCTTAATTAAACTTTCAATTTTAGCAAAATTTTTAAAAATTGAAAAATATAATTTAAAAAAATCAAATAATTTTCTTGCATCATATCATAGAAAATATAAAATCTTATAAAAAAACAAAATGAAAGTAATGAAAAAGAATACTTTAAGAAAAGTTACGAAAAAGAATTTCCAAAGATTCTTTCATCTGAAAAAAAAGCAAAACGTGAAAAATGAAAGTGAAATTTCTGTTTCATTGAAAAAATGAACAACTATGATGAAATTAATTTAGTTTTTGTTTCTTTCAAAAATTCCCTTTCGCTTTTTTATTGATTTCCTCCAAAAAAAAAGAAACAAAGCTTACAACTATTATTACCATTTACATTAATTAGATTGTTGAAAATTGAAATTTTCTTTTTTTTTTAATAAATCGATCGAATTAATATCATTGCACGGATACCATATGTATGGTATCCGTGCAATGATATGTGAATATTCTTATCGGTATCTTTCAAAAATTGCTTTCTTTTTATTAATTTCCTCCCCCCCTCCAAAAAAAAAGAAAAAACAACTGTTATTGCTAGTGATATTAATTAGTTGAAAATTTGTTGAAAATGTTGAAAATTGTTTGAAATGTTGAAAATTTTCTTTTTTAATAAACCGATCGAATTTATATCATTGTCGGATACATATGCGATATGCAAATATTCTTATCTGTAAAGAAATAATGATAATTATTGTAAATAGTTCTTTTCAAACGAAAAGAATGGTGACAAATTTTTATATGACATAATTGTGATATACATATATTCTAAATTATTATTTTATGCGATATGCTAATATTTTATGCGATATCACCATCAAAATTATTATTTTATGCGATATGCAAATATTTTTATCTGTAAAGAAATAAGGTTAATTTTTGAAAATAGTTTTTTGAAAAAAAAAAGATGACGAATTTTCATATGACATAATTGTGATTTGATGGTAAATTATAGGTTGCGGAACGTATTAATGATATGCAACGTTTAAGTGCTTCTCGACGTGATGCATTACAAAAAATGGCTTCCCGTGAAATTCGTAAACCACCTGTTCAAATTGTTAGTCCAGAAAAATTACCATATAATAATGGTGATAAATGTTATTCAACTATAAGCGATAATAAGAATTCAATTCCAACATCATCACCATCTAAAGTATTATTTTATTTTTCAAATAATTTTATCTGATTTTATAATAAATTTTAGAATGATAACAAATTTTAGAATGATAACACATTATGATAAATTTTAGGTAATGATAACATTGAATGAAAACAGTAATTTGTTTCTTTTTACACCCATTTACAACAAATTTAGTACACGTACTTACAGTCATACGATGATAAGCGTACATATACGTATTTTGATCGTATGATAAGCGTATGTGATAAGCGTACGTATTGATAGTTTGATTTTGCATCAATCTATCATCGCATTCCTTTTTTTGCCTTTTAGGCTATAAAAAAAGAATTCAACAAAAAATTCACTTCTTCATCTATCTCATTAATAATCGTTACATTCCGATCTTTTTACCTTTGTTTAATAATACACCTTATTTATTCGTTCTCTTTCCCTCTCCCTCTACCTCTTTCTTTTTCTATTCTCTTAGTGATAGAGAGAGAATAAATTGAACAAACATAATTTCTGATTTACTTTCTATAAATTCAATTTTATCCGTCAACAGATTTTGTCTTATCATAAAAATATTATTCCTTATCCTTTCTTCCTTCCTCTCTCTCTCTCTCTTTTCTTTCTTTTTGTCTTTAGCTAAATTATTTATAATTTTTTTTTTGCATAATTTAATTCCATTTAATTTTTCATTGAATATTTTTTAAAGTATCGTTGAAATTATTCAATAAATTTCCGTCTTTTTCTTTTTATAATTACTCTAACGATACTTGTAATAGTATTTTCATTTGTTTAAAAACTATTCTTCTCTTCAAGGCACTAACTCTTTTTCCTCTTTTTCTTTGTCTTTTCATTTTTCACAATATTTTATAAAAATTTTTCTCTTTTAGTAAGATTGAAAGTTTAAAATATTTAAATTAGTTTTATAACTATTACAGTGATAGTTATCATTACTTCATTGTTATTTATTTCATTATTTTACCATAGTTAAAATTACTATTTCAAGAAACACATTTGTTTGAATGTATTTGATAGTTTTAATTTTAGCTTATTTAAAATTTGAAATTGATTTATTTAATCAAATATTCATCGAATCATTTTGTTGACAGTCCAATATCACTTCTTCATTGATCCCTGTTTGTTAACTCAATTAAATAATAATTCAAATAATTAATCATTTATTTTGCTTAATCAGTTTTGCTTACCTTGCTTACCTTATTTTGCTTACCTATATCTATTTAATAATTTCAAAAACATTTACCACCTATCATTATCATTAAATTTTCACCCTTATCATATATCCTTCATCCATCCTTATCATATATCATCCTTATCATATATATAATTCATCCTTATCAATCATATCATATAATTCATCCTTATCAATTAATTTTGATTAGAAAAAGTTTTCTATTTGAAATTCCACCAAAATCATTTAAATGAAATCAATTGGCAGCTTATTGACGTCATTCGTCGTAATGTTTACATTATCCACAAAAAAATTCTGCAACATTTGATAATCAACGAAATTTTTGATCAAATATTTCACTAATACTTTGCAGACTGATGATAAGCTGATAATTTATTTTTAATCTGATAATTTTTCTAAAGTGCAAATTGATAATTTATTATTTCAAACTGCTAAAGCATTCATTCTTCATAAATAAATATTAGTAATAAAAATTTAAGTTAATATTTGAATTTCATTTAATTTCCTTACCGTTTTCTTCTCTGCAACTAATTATTTCCTTTAATTATTTCGTTTTTTGTCCTTCATTTAATTTTTGCTAATTGATATTTCATTCATTAATTAATTAGAATAATTTATTTAATTTTCAAATGTGAAAAATAAAAAGAAGCCGTTTTTTGTTTGTGTTTACAATTATTGTTATTATTGTATTATTGTTAAGTTACTTGTGATAATTACTTAATACTGATATTGCTGATAAGAGTAAGTATATTATTAGAAATGGATTTTTTTTTAAAAAGAAGAGATTTATGAGAGGGATAGAAGAGAGAGAGAGAGAGAGAGAGAGAAAGAGAGAGCTATTATTGTATAATTGTTTATGTTATTTGTGATATTTACTTTATTGCTGATATTGCTGATAAGAAGTATATTATCATAAACTGCCCATATCTATTAGGAATGGATTTTTTTTTAAAAAAGATTTAAAAGAAAGATAGGAGAGAGAGAGAGAGAGAGAGAGAGGGAGAGGGAGAAGGAGAAGGAAAGAGGAGAGAAAAGAGAGATTATGGATAATAATTAAAAGAAAGGAGAAGTTTTGTCTGCGAAAGCCGGAAGAAAGACTCAGTGCAACTATATCGATTAACATTTTTAGCTCTATCTCATCTTAATTCACTTCCTCTCTCCTACAATTCTTTTCTCTCTCTCTCTCTCTCTCTCTTTTCTAATTAATAAAATGGTTCTCATTAATATTAGCATTATTGATTAGTTAAAAAAAAAAGTGATTTAAGCATCGATGAAAATATTGGCTGGCTAGAAATTTCCATTTCCGTTCTCTTCATCATTTTAAACAATTTTCATAAATTAAAAAAAACTGAAGAACTGATAGTATAAGAATGAGAGAGAAAGAGAGACGAAGAGAGAGAGAGAGAGAGAGAGAGAAGGAAAGAGTGATTTAACGATTTGCAAAATTATCTTTCTCTTTTTCATTTTCATTTTTTTGGGAAAAAGAAAAACTTTCTTCTTTTTATTTTGTTTTTCCATTGCTTGTTGATATCTTTTGTTTTTGTTGTAATTATAATAATTAAAATTGAAATTTAAATTTGAAAAAGAAAACAAAAATTAATTATAAATTGGAATTGAAATTAACTATTTCAGTTTTTTTTTCTCACCTTTAATTAAATTAAGAATAAAATTTTATTATACGGAAATAATTGTAATAATTAAAATTTGAATTTAAAAAAAGAAAGCAAAAATTAATTATAAATTGGAATTGAAATTAACTAATTTGAGTTTGAGTTTTTTTCTCACGCTTAATTAAATTAAAAATAAAATTTTTTACGAATTTAAGGAAATTTTGATGAATTTTTTTTCTTCTCTAAATTTTTTTAAAATCACTCTTTGTTGTGAAATTGTTTTTTTAGTAAATTGTTTCTTAATTGTTAATTATTTTAAATTTCAGTTTTTCTTTTTTTGCAGGCGATATGACTTATGCAATTATAATTGGGCGAATAAAATTAGAACTAAAATTAAAATTCAAAAATTAAAATTGAAAAAAATGAAATTGAAAAAATTAGAACTAAAATTAAAATTAGAACTAAAATTAAGAATTTAAAAAATGAAATTAAAATGGAAATTAAATTTTTAATTATTTTATTTCAATTTCATAGCTTTTTTTTAATTGCATAAAAGTATTTCATTGATCTTTTTTTTTTTGCAGGTATAGTGCCTACCTTATTTTATAATGCATATATTATAATCAATACTTATAATAGTGGCCTTAAATTATTTCTTTCTTCTTGGCCAAATATTAGGCAATACTTTTAGCATCCAGTAATACTGTAACTTTGTTATGAATCATTTGTATTTCTTACGATCATTTTGTTTTATATTCGTTAGATATTACCGTATAAAATCTACAGAGGACGGAAGTGATTGCATGAAAATGATCAAACGTCAAATATTTCATCTTTCACTTCGGACAAAATGTAAACCGGATTATATATCGAATAGAGGAGAATTGAAATCTAACCGGAATATTGCTGCTTATCTAAATGATTCAAATGTACCATTGTTAGAATTTGTTGATGATCAATGTTATTGCATTGATCAAGAAGATGTGGAAGAGAGAAACAGAAGGCATTTTAAAATGGTCAGTTAGTTTGAGCTATACATTCGTTTCATTAAATTAACATAACGAAATTTTTTAAATTTAAAATTTGAATTTTAAAATTTAACATTTTTTTTTTAATGATTGAAAATTGTTATGGATGAAAATGTATGGAAGGACAAATTTTCAAGGACATAAAATGAATGGATATGAAAAAGATGAGAGAGAGAGAGAGAGAGAAAACCGTTTTCTTCTTAAGGATTTTACAATCCGTAAAATTAAAAGCTAAACCATCAGATTACCGATTACAGCTCAGTTAGAAATTTTCATTCAGTCGTTATTTCTCATTAATCATTCATTTCATTTTAAAAGTTTATTTCAAACAAATCTGACCTATTTAATAGGTCATTTAATAGGTCAAATATCCCCTGATTTTTTTTTTTTTGAAAGGTCATGAATTATTTTTAACTAAATAAATTAAATCAAAGATGTTAATTAGTATTTTTTTGGCAAGAAATTTATGTTAGATTATTTTAAATTTATCTTCTCCTTTTTTTTTGAATTATTTAAAAATTAAAAAGAAAAAAACAAGGAAACAATGATTTTAATTAATAAATATATATCAATTAATGATTATTCATTAACTGATATATATTTATTAATTTATTAATTAGTTAAAACGATTATTCATTAATTCATACATATATTTATTAATTAATTAAAAAGATTATTCAATTCATATATATATTTATTTATTAATTAGTTAAAAAGATTATTCATTAATTCATGTAAATTTATTAATTAGTTAAAAACTTTTGTTTACTTTTTTTTCTGAATTTAAAAAATGAAAAAGAATAAGATGAAGAATGTATTAAATATCAATAATTAATAATTCTTTAACAATATGAAAATAAACAAAATCAATTCAATCATTACTTTATTGATTATTTATTAATTAATTCAATAATTTTGAAGTATCTCCTTTATATCATAATCTTTACAGATATTATCAAAAAATAAATAAACAAGCAAATAAACAAAATAGATATTATCAAAATATAAATAAACAAATAAACAAACAAAATAATTACTATGCCATCTTCCACTATTATTATTCTAAAAAAAGAAAATACCATTCATTCGTTAAAACTATCGCCAAATTGGTTTCAATCAAATTTAACATTTTAATCCCTGAACTTCGATCATCCATCCATCGATTTATTTATTTATCAAATCACATTCATTTGATAAATTTCAATATTCTCTTTCCTTTCTTTTTTCATCTCTGTCCCTCTCATATTGCTCTTTCTTTTCTTTCTTCGCTCTATTTCTTTTAAATTGTTATTTCATAAAATTTGAATAAATTTTCATGCACTACTTGTTAAAATGACAATTATTGAATAATTAAAATAAATAAAACAAAAATACCTAATAAAATCTTTTTGTAAAAAATTAATCGTTCAAATTTTTTTCTTTTTATAT